TGGTGCTGACGAACAGAAAGTGATCAATATAGTCAATTCTGACTTAGCGGCCACCCCTTGCATTCCAATTAGCGGTTTACTATCATTGCCCTTATATTTTGTGATAAACTGGTGTCATCGCACAACTGGGCATGCTAGCGTGTTAAGGCTAGGTTAGTTTGACATACCGCCTGTATCAGGTAACTTAGCCTTAGATGCACAACCTGGTGGTTTGCATTTGGTATTATTGTTCGGCTTTTTCATTGATGAGAACGGTTAATTTCACCTGTGTGACTTATTGGAGTGTTGTCAAAGTAGCGACTCTATATACCTGCAGGTTTGTGGTCGGGTGTAGACTGCCATAAGCTCCAACCGACCGGAATCACGGTTGGCACAGATCCTACGTGCGGTTACGTCGCTAATCGTTATATATTTTGAAACCGACATTCCCATTGTGGAGAGTTCGTTCGCAGCTGTAAGCTGACCTATATTCATTCTCAACCTCAGCTGATCGTACGCATCATTCAGTTCACCTAATTATGGAAAATTGGCGGCCTCATTGAGAGTAGAACCCACGCAGCGGGAAGGGCTTTTGATCAGCCTACGCTCTACAATTGAGCTACGAGGCTCGCAGTACACTGTGGATATAATCTCACTTGCATCGATTTTAAGCGCTCACCTTTCTGTTCGTATAGAATCAACCATTACGGAACAGCAAGCTGACTGCTTAGGCAGGATTTTCTAAGTATTCATCGAAGATCCATCAGAGTGACTACTAGGCTCACTTAATTGTTAGGGCGGTTTGGCAGCTTTGCTTAATCCAGTTGACTGCCATCATACAGTACGAGTTTTTACATAACTACCGTCTTGTCCGTGTTGCCAACTAGATCAATGTTTGTACCACCGGGGCATAGAGTCCCATGGTCTGTTGCATGTCTGCTACCGTCGTAAAAGTGGCGTGTGTTCAATTATCGGATTATGAACCCTGTAATGGACACTCGCGGGGCTGCCTGCATGCATCGAATGTTGGGCTACTGCCTATCAGTTCGCTAAGCGGTGGTTCCTGGCTGCTCCTCGTGATAGATGGAGGTCAAAAGCTAGCACTTTGTCCAGCTGACCGTTTGGTAAAAGATTATACAAGAGCCTTAGTTTGCTTGTGTGTACCTAGCAGGCGAACGTG